GAAAACCCACTAGAAAACCCACTAGAAACCCACTAAAAGACCCACTAAAAACCCACTAAAAACGACCCACTAAAAACCCACAAAAAGACCCACAAAAAGACCCACTAAAAGACCCACTAAAAGACCCACTAAAAGACCCACTAAAAGACCCACTAAAAGACCCACTAAAAGACCCACTAAAAACCCTACTAAAAACCCTACTAAAAACCCTACTAAAAACCCTACTAAAAAGTACTTAGAAACTACTAAAAACCTATAAAAAATCCTATTAAAAACCCTTTAATCCCCTTAACTACATCCGTCTTATCAATCAAACCCAATAAACCAACACCATATTGATCCAGGCGGGAAAATTGAGCGAAAATCCCAAATCCTGCAGCTTCCCAGCCTCGGGAACATTCCCAAGGGTTGCTCACCGTGCAGCAGCACATCCTGCAGGGATCTGCTCTCCAGGGCCAGCCGGGCCAGGCGCGGGGCGTGCTCCTTCCTCACCTTCAGCCACAGATCCTCCGTCCTCTCCAGCCGGCCCGAGTGACCGTCCTCCAGCTGGAAGGGACACCACGGAGTCAGGGGAATGGTCAGGGATGTTTGCTGCAGTTTGTAATGCCCAGGAGGTCAAAGCAGGGTGAGAATTCCAGGAGAATGCAGGGATGAGAATTCCAGGAGAAAGAAGGGATGAGAATTCCAGAAACTCAAACCCTAACCAGGGATGAGAATTCCAGGAGAGACCAGAGATGAGCAGTCCAGGAACTCAAACCAGGGATGACAATTCCAGGAACTGAAACCCCAACCAGGGATGAGCATTCCAGGAACTCAAATGCCAAGCAGGAATGACATTCTGGGAGCTCAAATCCCAGCCAGGGATGAGAATTCCAGGAGAAACCAGAGATGAGCATTCCAGGAGCTCAAACCATGGATGAGAATTCAAGGAGAAACCAGGGATGAGAATTCCAGGAGCTCAAACGAGGGATGAGCATTCCAGGAACTCAAATCTCTGATTCCAGACCAAGGATGAACATCCCAGCAGCTCAAACCAGGGATGAGCATTCCAGAAACTCAAATCCCAACTAGGGAGGATGAGAATTCCAGGAGAAACCAGGGATGAGCAGTCCAGGAACTCAAATCCCTGATTACAGACCAAGGATGAACAACCCAGGAGCTCAAAGCAGGGATGAGAATTCCAGGAACTCAAATCCCAAGCAGGAATGGCATTCTGGGAGCTCAAATCCCAGCCAGGGATGAGAATTCCAGGAGAAAGCAGGGGTGAGAATTCCAGGAGCTCAAAGCCCAACCAGGGATGAGCATTCCAGGAACTCAAATCCTGGATTCCAGATCAGGGATGAGCAGTCCAGGAAAAACCAGAGATGAGCATTCCAGGAACTCAAACCAGTGAAAAATATTCCAGTAGCTCAAACCAGGGATGAGAATTCCAGGAACTCAAACCCCAACCAGGGATGATCATTCCATGAACTCAAACCAGGGATGAGAATTCCGGGAACTGAAACCCCAACCAGGGATGAGCATTTCAGGAACTCAAATCCCAAGCAGAAATGGCACTCCAGGAGCTCAAATACCAGCCAGGGATGAGCATTCCAGGAGAAACCAGGGATGAGAATTCCAGGAGCTCAAACCAGGGATGAGAATTCCAGGAGCTCAAACCAGGGATGAGAATTCCAGGAGAAACCAGGGATGAGAATTCCAGGAACTCAAATCCTGGATTCCAGACTAGGGATGAGCATCCCTGGAACTCAAACCAGGGATGAGAATTCCAGGAGCTCAAATCCCAACCAGGGATGAGCAGTCCAGGAGAAACCAGGGATGAGAATTCCAGGAGCTCAAACCCCAACCAGGGATGAGCATTTCAGGAACTCAAATCTCTGATTCCAGACCAAGGAAGAACATTGCGGGAGCTCAAACCAGGGATGAGAATTCCAGGAACTCAAATCCCTGATTCCAGACCAGGGATGAGAATTCCAGGAGAAACCAGGGATGAGCAGTCCAGGAACTCAAATCCCAAGCAGGAATGGCATTCTGGGAGCTCAAATCCCAGCCAGGGATGAGAATTCCAGGAGATCAAACCCCAACCAGGGATGAGCATTCCAGGAACTCAAATCTCTGATTCCAGACCAAGGATGAACATCCCAGGAGCTCAAAGCAGGGATGAGAATTCCAGGAACTCAAACAATGGAAAAACATTCCAGTAGCTCAAACGAGGGATGAGAACTCCAGGAACTCAAAGCAGGGATGAGAATTCCAGGAGCTCAAACCCCAACCAGGGATGAGCATTCCAGGAACTCAAATCTCTGATTCCAAGGATAAACATCCCAGGAGCTCAAACCAGGGATGAGAATTCCAGGAACTCAAACCAGGGATGAGAATTCCAGGAACTCAAATCCCAATCAGGGATGAGCATTCCAGGAGAAACCAGGAATGTGCAGTCCAGGAACTGGAACCCCAACCAGGGATGAGCATTCCAGGAACTCAAATCCCTGATTCCAGACCAAGGATAAACATCCCGGAGCTCAAACCAGGGATGAGCATTCTGGGAACTCAAAACCCAGATTCTGGAATGGAACCACGGCAAACCCAGGATGAGCATTCCAAGAGCTCAAATCCTGAATTCCAGAGCAGGGATGAGCATTCCAGAACTTCAAATCCCAACCAGGAATGAACATTCTGGGAGCTCAAATCCCAGATTCCGGAACAGAACCGCAGCAAACCTGGGATGAGCATTCCAGGAGCTCAAACCAGGGATGAGAATTCCAGGAACTCAAATCCCAGATTCCAGACCAGGGATGAGCATTCCAAGAGTTCAAATCCCAGATTCCAGACCAGGGATGAGCATTCCAGGAGTTCAAATCGCAGATTCCAGAGCAGGGATGAGCATTCCAAGAGCTCAAACCAGGGGTTTTGGAGGTGCCAGGTCTTTTCTTTAGAAAGTTTAGGCTTTAGAAGTTTGGCTTCTTTATAAAAGCTTTAGAAGTTTTGACTTTAGAAGTTTTGGCTTCTAAATAAAAGCGCTCTGGGAAAACGCTGCTTCCCTGGGGATTTTGTCAGGTTGGGATCATCTCTCCCTGATTTTTTACAAGAATATTATAAACTTCCAACAAGAATATTCAATCCCTCGGGATCAGAATTCTGGAATCCCAGAGTGGTTCGGATTGGAAGGGATTTTTGAATTAATGTTTTTCATTGATGTTCCCATCAACTGCGCCACCTCTCCCTATAAAAAACCCGAATTAAGTGCACAAATGACCATGATAAACATCCCTACAATGAAAATTCCTCTTTCCCACCCCAAATCCAGAACTGCTGGGTGGTTCCCAGCCCGACCTGGCGCAGGGAGGCGGCGAAAGCCTCGTGGGAGCTGTTGAGGCGCGTGCGGAACTGGCTGCAGATGCTCTTGGCCAGTTTGGAGGCGCTGAGGCTCTCGATGGCATCCTGGGCCACCTTCCTCTTCCAATCGCTGGTGATGGCTGGGGGGCTGACCCAGGTGATCCGCTGGATGATCTGGAAAAGGCACAGGAAATCAGGGATTTGCTCGGAGCCACCCTTGGAATGGTCACTGAGTGCAAAATTGGGATAAGGAATCACCAGAATTAATTATTGAATGGTAAATCAATTGATGRATTATTGGTTCACAGCATGGGGAGSACCTGGAGCAGAGAAAATGTGGCTGAAGCATCCCTGGAAGTGTCTGAGGACAGTGCTTGGAGAAGCCTGRGAGAGTGGGAATTGTCTCTGCTCGTGGAATGGGATGAGTTTAAAACTCCTTCCCAACCCAAAGCAGCCTGGGACTCTCTAATCTTTAATCTAATAGTATTTATTAAATATTTATTTTAATATTATTAATCTATTTTTAAATGAAATTTTTACAAATATATAGATTTAATAGTATAATACAAATAAATATTTCCTAATTTCATTGTAAATATTTCTATTGCTATATTATTTTATTCTTTGATTATTACAATGTTATAATATATCTTATATTATATCATTATGTATTAATATGGTATATAGTAATTAAATATATATCATTATATAGAATAATATATAAACAAATGTGTAATATACAAAAATATATGTATAAATAAAATATTAATAAAATATAATATTAATAAAATATCATAATACTGGTAAAATATAATAATGTCACACCCATAATATGATATTTATTTTATTATACTATATAATTGTATTTTTTATTATTATTGTGTTATGATATATGTCATATATATTATACATAATATGTTGTAATAGACTATTTTTTATATAATTATTATATATTATTATGTATTCATAAGTGAAGTATAAAAATAAAAAAAAAACTTAAAGACCTCTTTAGTGGGTTCTTCCTGTTCTGAATCACCAAAGGAAGGATTTGTGGATTTGGGAAACTCCTGTTTGTTTTGGGAAAATGTGGTTTTTTTGGGTTTGTGGGATTTGGTTTGCGGTAGATCTGGATTCAGGACAATTCCCTTTTCTCTTCTGCCCAGAGCAGATGAGATTTCCTCGGGTTTGGCTGCAATTTCTGGCTSTTCAAGCTTTAAACTCTGGGAATTCCTGCTCAGAGCTGGGAGTTGATGAACTTTATTCCCTCCTGGGATGGATAAGGAAGGAAAACACAACTTTTCCTCAAATAATTGTGGAACAAACCTGGGGATTCCTCCTCCTCCCTYCATCCACACTGGAATTCCGTGGCTTCTCACCAAGGGCGAGGCAGAGCAATTGAATTCCCCACTAATTACAGGAAGTGTGTCCAACACTTGGAATTCCAGCACCCTGATGATGCTTCAGGAAAAAGCTGCACCCCTGGAGATTTTTTGGGAACACTTCTCCCTGATTTTTATAAGAATTTCACYGTGATYTTACAAGRTTTTTACYKTGATCCATCCCTCTGGATGARAATCCTGGAATMCCAGAAYGGKTCAGGWTGGAARKGATTTTAATGGGAYTTTTTCCCATTCCAGAGYAYCTCCCAYCACCCCAGGCTGCTCCAAATCCCATCAAACCCAGCCTTGGGCACTTSCAGGGATGGAAATTCCCAGGAATGAACTCCCAGCTCCCAATGCCTGTGCCCGGATTGAATTCAGGGAGCAGCTCTGAGGATTTTTTGCTCCAGAAGGAATTTTTCCAAACATCTGTACCTGTTTGATCTGTTCCCACAGCATCCTGGTCACTGTAGAGCCCGAGTGGAAGGTGACTTCCACGTGATAAGCTGCGTTTAGGATCTGGAAAAAAAGGGAAAAGAGGGAAAAATGGGAATTTTGTCAGCTGGAAACGTGGCTAGAGCCTGTGAAAATGGAAAAAAATTGGATGTTCTGGGGGATAACCCATGAGTGACTTGGTTAATTGATTTCTTGTGTTCAGCTCATGGGAGTTTTATAAAATCTGATGGTTTTATAAGATTTAGGAAAACTTAGGTCATTCAGTGACTATTCTACACTTTTAGGACCCCAAATTCCCACATATTCCCAAGCTGTTCTTCTGATTCCCCCCACCTTCCCGGACTGGGACAAAGCCAACCATAAGGAACATTCCAAAACTGTAATCTGATTATTTTATACAGATTAATACTTGTAAAATATTTATATTTAATTTACATTTATACAACTTAAACCCTTAACTAATGTTCCTCACTTTTAGCACCCCAAATCCCCAAATATTCTCAAGCTGTTTTCCTGATTTCCTTGCCTCCACCTCCCCCAACCTTCCCGGACTGGGACAAAGCCAACAATGAGGAACATTCCAGAACTGTAATCTGATCATTTTATACAGATTCAGGAAAATTTAATGTCTTAACTAATATTCCCCACTTTTAGCACCCCAAATTCCTGAATATTCCCAAACTATTTTCCTGATTCCACAGCCTCCATCTCCCTCCACCTTCCTGGACTCGGACAACACCAACAATGAGGAACATTCCAGAGCTCTTGGATTGCAAGTGATGGTTCCCCACTTTTAGCACCCAAAATCCCCACATATTCCCAAGCTGTTTCCCTGACTCCACAGCCTCCATCTCCCCCCACCTTCCCAGACCACAACGAGTAACATTCCAGAGCTGTTGGCCTGTGACTTTTTCTCACTTTTAACACCCCAAATTCCCAAATATTCCCAAGCTCTTTCCCCAATTCCATCACCTCCATCTCCCCCCATCTCCCCGGACCGGCACAAACCCAACAGCCCAGAACATTCCAGAGCTGTTGGACTGTGACCGTTCCCCACTTTTAACACCCCAAATTCCCAAATATTCCCAAACTGTTTTCCTGATTTCCCTGCCTCCATCTCCCCCCACCTCCCCGGACTGGGACAAACTCAACAACCCAGAACATCCAGAGCTGTTGGACTGGAAGTGACTGTTCCCCACTTTTAGCACCCAAATTCCCACACATTCCCAAATTGTTTCCCTGATTCCACAGCCTCCATCTCCCCTAACCTTCCTGGACTGGCACAAACCCAACAATCCAGAACTTTCCAGAGCTGTTACACTGTGACCATTCCCCACTTTTATCACCCCAAATTCCCAAATATTCCAAAACTGTTTCCCTGATTCCACAGCCTCCATCTCCCCCCACCTTCCCCAACTGGGACAAAGCCAACAATGAG